TTGCTAAAAATTAGGTGGGCTTAGCTTTGTTGGTTTATTTCTGCATCCTCTATGTTGTTCCATTGGTCTACATGTCTTTTTCTATGCCAGTATCAAGCTGCCTTTACCACTATAGCTCTGTAGTAGAATTTGGGATCAGTTATTGCGATACCTCCAGCTGTGATATCAATCTTTAGGATTGCTTTTTCTAGATCTGTGAAATATGGCATTTGATATTGCAGAGAATGTGGTGAAAAAGGAATCTTTATTCATTGCTGGTACAGTTCATTATAAAGCACCCATTATGGAAATCAGTTTGGAGGCTCCCTGGGAAATTAAAATTAGAACTACCATATGACTCAGCCATTTCACTTCTGGACATATATTCAGACAATGCTATATAGAGACTTTTAATCTCACCATGTTTTCTGTTGCTCTATTCACTATAGCAAGGAAATAGAAGCTGCCTACTTGTCCATTAACAGATGAATGGATAATGAAAATCTTGCACATTTATAAAATGGAATATTATTCACCTCTAAAGAAAAATGAAATCAGAAAATTTGCAGGAAATATGGATGGAACTAGACTATTAAGTGAGATCACCCAATCTCAGAAGAAAATCCTGCATGTTTTTCCTCATAGGAAGATCCTAGCCTATAATATATACATATATATGTATATATATGTTATTAAATGGAAGGTGTTCATATGTGAGCCCACTAGAGCTGCTGCTTTACTGGGAAATCTGAATTTTATCATTATTACTTCTGTTCTTTAAGATTATTTATTTTTATTCTATGTGTATGACTCTTTGCCAGCGTGTATGTACACCACACACATGCTTGGTGTCTATGGAGGCCAGAAGAGGGTGTCAGGTCCCCTATAACCAAAGTTGGGAACTGAACCTGGTCTTCTGCAAGAGCAGTAAGTGCTCTTAACCACTGGCCCATCTCTCCATCCTTAGAAATTTCAACTTTTAATTATGTTTTTCTTTGAATATTTCTGTATGCTGTAGAGAATTCTCTGTTAGTCCAACTAAACTTACTGTATTTTATTCTTTAAACAAGAAATTTTGTTATTTGTAGTGGAGTGGGTGATGGGAGGACAGGGAATATGGGGAGGGATGACACTAAAGATATTTTGAAAAGTCATATGGAAACTTACTACTGTACACACTCCTTAAAATATACACATATACATATGTGAAAAGAATTTTAATGTACTTATCCTACAAAAGGGAGAGAATGTACATACTAGCTATCATAGGCTAACAAATAAAAGGTTTCAGGAATTTGAAAACACTGGGAAATTGGCTTTCTCTTATTTCATGTAATAATTCAAAAAGAATCATTATTACTGAATAAATGTAATGCAGTTTAAAAAATAAAAAATAAGGTCTTTGTCACTATAGAACTATGTACCAACCATAGAATTCAGAAACAAAAAGTAAGCACAACTAAATTGATGAGAGACAGGAACTGAACCACGAGACAGAGTTCATGTACTGTGTTTTCTAATCCGGCTTTGGTTTCTCTCTCTCTCTCTCTCTCTCTCTCTCTCTCTCTCTCCTCTTTCTCTCTTCCCCCTCCCTCATTCCTTTTTCCCCCTCTCTTGTGTGTGTGTGTGTGTGTGTGTGTGTGTGTGTGTGTATTAACAGTGTATCTGTGGAAACAGTGCTTTCTGAAGACTGTGTCTTCTCTGACCATAGGATGTTTTAAAATAAGCAAGAACATTAAGAGACAAAAGGATCTGTGCATTTTTGTCCAGGAGGGAACTATTCTCTTGAGATTTTTTTGGTCACCTTACAATGACAAACTGACCATGGCCACAGAAATACTTCCTTTCTGAATGTGATGTCAGAGAGAACACAGACTGAATGAGAATTTTCTGAAATGGAGATTATATATGGAATGTTCCCTTTATGGAGTCTCCTGCTCATTTACTATTAAAAGTCAATTCAGGACTGTTTTTACTCCTTGAAAGCAACTTGAGTTGAGCACGGCTGTACCATATGTTCTGTTTTCTAGGCATTGGAAAGCAAAGTGCCAAGCAATTATGTGAGGGATTTGATCAGTTATGACAGCTAGTCTCGAAACTCAAGTCAGAAACTCCTGCTTTTTCTTCACAGCAGGTTGTGAGACTGAATTATATGAGTAATTACATCAAAATTCAACTTTACCTTGACAGTGACCTCACAAATCTACATGCAAAGCACTTTCCTTATCAATTCAATGTGTCATTGCTACTTTATAACTTCTATACCAGAATGTCTGATCAAAATCATGGTGGATGAACACACATGATTTGCTTTGAACTACTGTGGATGGTCTTGTTCCAAAGCTGCTCTGGAGCACTAACTACTCAATTCTTGTACCCTGTACTCATCATTGACAACATTCAATTAGGGAGTCCCAGTGAAATTTTGACTCAAAACTAAAAATTAGAATCTCTCTCTCTCTCTCACTCGCTCTTGCTTTCGCTCTCGCTCTCTCTCTTTTTATGTGTGACACATGTCCAGGAATCATATAGATGACCCGGAACATTTTCTTCATGTTCTACCACCTAAGAAGGGAATTCCCACTGATAAAATGTCCTTTACAGTAATATATCAAAGAAATCGAGATGCTGTAAAGAGGAAGCTCCTGGACATTAAATTGTCTCTGCTTCTATAATACTCCAGAGATTGTCTAGACTGTACAAGGGGCTGTAGATACTTGTGAAACTAAAACATCTTTTAAATTTCTTTCTTTTTCATTGAATTTTTGAGATTCTTATGCAATATATTTTGCTCATATTTAGATCCCCTCCCCCATCTGCACCATCCCTCACAACCCACTGACTAATTTCATGTACTCTAGAGAGTCTGATTTGGGTCACCAAATGTCCTTCAAAATAGATCCATCCATAAGAGTGTGGCTAAGTTCCCAAAAGTCACATCCTTGAGGGACTGGAGAGATGGTTCAGCAGTCAAGATCACAGGCTGCTTTTGCAGATGACCCACAATTTCCAGCACCCACATGGCAGCTAGCACCTGTCCATAACTCCAGTTCCAGGGGAATTTGAGGCCCTCATCTGACCTCTCTGGGCATTGCATGACACAGGTACACTCACATACATGCAGGCAATACACTCATACACATAAAATAGAAATAGCAAATGAAATATTCTTTTAAAAAGAGTCACATACTTGAAAGAGACCGACTCTCCCATGCCCAGCAGCCAACTGTTGCCAATAATTCCTCAGGTAGGGATGGTGACAGCATGTACAAGTCCCATGTAAACTCAGATTTCTTAATGTGCAACAGTTTCTTTAATTTGCAATAAATATGTAGGAAAAATAGAGGCATAGGATCACTTTTCTCAGATAAAAATAAATTAACTTTGGGGCAATTTATCTTTCATAGTGTATTATGGTGCACTGCCAGAAGACCACAGATGCGCACCCTATGAGGAACCTGAAGAGACATCTGTCAGGAGGGTAAACGAGTTTAAACTGCAGTGCGGTAATGAGGCATCAGCCACTCTCCAGATGAATGTTTCAAATATTTATTTTAAAAAGGAAAAAAAAAAAACCTTTTTATGTAAGTTTTTTTTCTATGCCAGCTTAATAAGTAAGAATTTCTAACTTGCATATTGTCATAGAATAAATACACTGAGAGAGAGAAAAGAATGAGACAGAAAAGAGGAATGTGGGAGGTAAGGAGAGTTGACGTGACATTATTATATAGTGGAGGATAAGAGATAGATAATTCTTAATAGTTATATCAATAATTCAGAACTCTCCTAATTTTAAAGAATATTGAATTAAAATTTACTCATGAAAAAATTTCTTAGTCATTTTCTGTTTTCATTTTAATTTCTATTATATTCAATGTACAGAAAACCACCATAAATCATGTGAAGACCATTCCCACAGGAACCTATGCTTCCTTGTCTCAGAGCTCATGAGCACTGAGCAGACATATGCCCATCTTAACTATTATTCTCTTTACACAGCTTATGCACATTAAATAAAAATAAATGCTATTCAAAAAATAAATTCAAACAAGTATAAGGGCTTTCCTTTTAAGAACCTACTTTTACATAGATAGTATTTCAAGCAGTCACTGTTTCCAAAACTTACAGTTGAAGGAAGAGCCAAAAGAAAGATAAAAGTAATCCAGATGGAAGAAAATGTTTTAGAAGCTGTCTATCATGTAGGTTGTCAAATATTTGGAAAAGACAAATGTTTCTATTTGAGAAATCCTTTGAACACTAAACTTCCTTTCAAATTAACAACTGACTCCCCAGATTCCATATTGTTTACCCATGTGCATTTAAAGTGGTGCCATTTTTAATCATTTTGTTTATCACTCAATAAATATTTGTGAAATAAATAAAAATTTTTTCAAAGTAGAAAATGTCTGTTAAATGACAATGACGATGTGACTCTTTTTCAAGCTAATATTTTTTGTGGTTATTTCTAATATTGTTTTTAATTACTAAGATGCCCGATGACTGATTATATTTTACAAAGCAATGGAGCTAACGACAGGGTCAGGTTGTCACAGATGTGTTCAGAACCATGAACAGGATCTCCTTCCCTTCTTAGTTTGCATTCAGGAAAGTCAGTCAGCTAGAAGTGTGAGGAAATATACTTCCTTAATAAGGAGTTATTTCAAATATCAAGGAAACAGATTTGGTATAGTGTCAAAGTAAAAGTATCCTTTTTATATATTTGTCCTTCCTTTCTGAGGATTTAGCTTTTGTATAAGGTTAGAATAAGTAAATCATCTCATGAGTGTAGGAAGCAAAAAATCATAGAATGCATCCAAGTATTAGGGACTACTAAGACAAGAAATCAGAGAGAAGAAAGTAAAGACAGAAAAGGAAGAAAGCTGCACCTCATTCTACCGTGTTCTTTATGTATATTCTTAATCTGATGACCCATTGAGCTTTTTTTGCATAATAATGTACTCTAAATATTTTAACTTCATGTCAATTTAGAATGAGATTTCATAGATCTATAAATTACTGACCTTCTTTAGTACAATTGACTTGTATTTCATCACTGAAGTCTCCACAGTCATTGTCACCATCACAGGCCCAATGACCTGGAATACACCGGCCACTGGAACATCTGAACTGATTATCAAAGCAAGAGTGAACACAGCCCACCTCATCACTCCTGTCCCCACAATCGTCATCTGGAAAGAAACATCAATACTGAGGAGTAAAAACTAACCTGGGAAAAGCATGTTTCTTACATTCATAACATTTTATGAATAGAATTTTCTGTTTTAAGAAAAGAAAGATGAGTTCATGATCAACATTTCCATGAACAGTGAGAGAATTACTGTTATTTTACACAGATACTGTATATCTATTGCAAATGCTAAACAAGAGAAAGAAATCACTGACTTTGATTTTACAGCTTAATTTCTATTTCACTCGGAAAAAACTAACCAGTAACTAACTGCCGTCATGCAGTAAAAATTAAGAAGAAATTGGTGACTAAAAGAATTGCAAATGATTGGACTAGGGAGGTGGCTCAGTGGTTAAGAACACTGGCTGCTCTTGCACAAGATCCAGGTTCAGTTCTCAGCACCCACATGGCAACTGTCTTTAACTCCGGTTCCAGGAGATCTGATGCCCTCTTCTGACTGCTGCAGACATTGCATGACATGGGTGTACTTGCATACATGCAGGCAATACACTCATACACACACACACACACACACACACACACAAATAATTTAAGAAAAGAATTTCAAATGATGCAAAGTGATATAATTATAGAAATTGTTTAAATCGATCGGCTCTGTGCCCCATAGTTTACAGTTGTGTCTTTCACTCAGTGTCTTTGTCTCTGTATTCTGACATGAGGACTTACTGTGCACTACTCCCCACTACCCACATGACCAATTCATATTTGGAAAATATGTGCTAACATTAGAAATGCTTCATAGTCTGTATTAACAATTATTGCAAGAAAGATATGCAACCAAAAGACACTGATTCATATATAATTCATTTACCTACATTTAGAATAACTTGGCATAATTATACAATTAACTATAAGAACAAAAGCATCATTTGTATATAAAAAGCAAGGTGACAGAGTTGAGACCATCTGGATAATTGCAACCTAACTTATAAACTGCTCATCCTGAGGTTGCATAAATGCTTTGGGGAACTTAAATTGTCCAGGTCATTTCCTTAATTATTCCCTTTATTCAACTATGTAGATTTAGACTGTTCAACATAATATCTGAAAACGAAGCTGTACCAGAGTCCCGTGGGACAAATATCATGCTCCATTATCTTTAACACTGATTCCCAAGGATGAGCCAGCTGCCCTCTCACCACTTGTCTTAGCCACTTTATATTGTTCTGCAAGCTTCTCTTGCAAACTATCTTTGAAGGAAGTCAGACAGCCCAGACAGCTAGATCTCAATCAAGTCAGTACTGTATAGGGAACATTGGGTACTTGCCAGTGTCACAGTGCCATTTACTGCTAATGCATCGTCCACTTTTGCATATAAATTGAGTGAGAGGCTCACAAGTTGGAAATTCTGTGAAAGATAAAAAGATCCGATAAGAAATGTATTATTGACTATGCTTGATTTGTCTCTCTCTTATTTGTCAATGTGATCGAAACTCCTCTCCTGTTCTCTACAAAGACACAGAAGAAATAAATATAATAACTGGAACTTGGTAAGGACACCACCAGTCAGTGTCTCAAATGAGGCCCTTCCAGTGACCACATGCCTAGAGAATCATTTGATGAGTGATCATTGGGAGTCATCACGTCTTCAAATAGCAATCCCTGTCAACTATCAATGAATGACAGCTGCTGAAGCTCTGTTGTGTTGCTGCCAAATATCGCGTTGGTGCTTCGGGAGCACAGTACTTTTCTGTATTCAGGGGGCCAAACAGGACAGTCATGTGTAACACTGACTTAGGAAGGATGGCGACTTGAAGGAGAAAGCAAAAACATCAAAAAAATGAAGTCGGTTCACCTGGTATGATATGATTACAAAGAATTTGAAACTGTGAATTCAATCTAAAACAAAAGAAGGGGGAAGCCTGAAAAATTTATTAAGAGATTATGAAACGAAATCCAACCAATTAAATCAAGAGACCACACCTTCCTATCTCTTACCTTTGAAGACATAATTAGCCATTTTAACACACAGGTAGATCTAGAAACAAACACTAACATATTATGATCTGATGGATGTGATAATTATAGCAGCTGGAAAGATTGCTCAGTGGCTAAGAGCACTGGCTGCTCTTGCAGAGGACCTGGGTTTGGTTCCCAGAACCTACATGACAGCTAACAACCATCATTAACTCCAGTTCCAGGAAATCGGACTCTCCCTCCTGGCATCCTTGGGCACTGCATACACAGGTGTGCTTACATACTTTCAGGTAAAACACTCATACACATAAAATAAACAAAAATAAATAAGTCAAAAATTTTTAATACAATAGTAATCAGATAAAAATAAAATGCTTGAAGAGTTCAACCAATACATCAGAGTAAATATTTCACAATAGAAGAAATTATTGCCCTGCTTCATATGTGATGATACTAATTCACCTGAAAATTTGTGGATTGCATAGAACTAGACCTTTTATTTCCCAATAATATTTATGGAACCATAAATTCTGACCCTAGAGATCATTTAATAGGCTTTTCAAAAACAGGAAAAGATTTCATAAGTATCCCAGGTTGATATTTTCTTAACACTTTAATAACTCACACCACTGATAATATTTGCAGGAACTAAGAATTCTAAGTGATTTTAGTACAACTTCTCTAAAATAATTGATATTTTCCCTTAAAACTTATGATAATTTTAAGGTAAACTTTATTTAACATATAGTTCTTGATAAATAATGAGCTGTTAATAGGTACTAACAGCTAATAAGAACAGATTAATTTGGCACGATCATTGTAAAAAAACAGTTAGTTGGGCTGGAGAGATGGCTCAGTGGTTAAGTATACTTGCTGTTCTTCCAGTGGACCTGAGTTCGAATCCCAGCACCACATGGTGGGTAACAACCATAACTCCAATTCCAGGCAATCCAAAACCCTGACCTCCATGGGCATTACACGACATGGGTACACTTACATGTGTGCATGCAATACAATCATACACATAAAATAAAATAAAATTTAAAAACAACACCTAAATAAAGCTTCAATTTCTCTTTCACCATTGACAAAAAGCTGAACGAGAGACTCACAGGACACCAGTCCTAGTGAAAAAACAAGGAGCCAGAATGGAGCTGACAGGGACTCTCACTAGTTACCTGGGAGACCCCAGAGAGTGACCAGCACTAACAGGTAGTAGGCAGGCTTCAGACATTAACTGACATTAGTACTGATAACCTAGGCAGTTGATAAGAAGAACTGCTATCATATCACATACCATAAGAATGGGAAAGTGATGGCTACACCAAATTCAGTGAGTTATCTGTTTCTTTGTGGAAAATAATTTATGTGAACTTGCATTTCAGTATGTTCATGAATGAAAATGTTCTGAAATCAAAGGACTCTTTAGTAAACTTCATATAAAAACTGTCTTGAAATAAATATTTAAAAATAAATATTAACTTCTTAAAAATCAGAGAGTATGGGGGTATAACAAACATTAAAGACTTTTAGAAAATGTCATATGGAAACCTAACACTATAGAAGCTTCCTAAATATATACATAAACATTATAAAAAGAGATCGAAAGGAGATACCTTATTATAAGTGGACAGTGCCTCAACTAGATGCCATAGGCTAGCAAAGATAAAGTCCATTTCCAAGAATAAACTCCCTCTTTTGAAGCTTTAGCATATAGTTCTTGATACTTGGAACCAGGGTTCCAATAGACCCTCAAAAATACTAACCATTGCCTCTGGTCTTGGTTACCCACCATAACTTGATGGTAAGACCCCATTGCTGAAGACATTACATACATGAGCTGCAGAACTAACAAGGAGAAATAATCTGGTGCTGACTTCAAAGCCTCATCTCTATTGTCTAGTTTTCATAGTGCTTGAAGGTGCTATGCATGCTAGCTGAAGAGAAAATTAATCCTTAACTTTACTCAGCTGTGAATCCTACAAGATATAACTGGCCTGGCAAGATATGCCCAATGGTTCATATTGGCATTAATATTATGAGAGTAAACAACCATTTACTAATTGGACTTAAGGTCTGCTTCACAGGATGGAACCCATATCAGACTTAATATCAAGCCTAGAAACCTAAACACACAGGACACACAGGACACAAAGGAGAACCTAACATTAAAGTTCTGCTAGATATTGACTCCTAGTGACTTATTATTTTACCCATAGATTAATGCATATCACAACTCTCAGCAGAAAAGCTTATGCAATAATGGTTATTAACACAAAACCCCACAACTGGCCAATGTGCAGAGACTAAGACCCTGCAGACTGTTTATCCCCTAATAGGAAACCTATATCAAACATCTGTCTCCCAAGGCTCAGAGATCATTGCAGAAGAGAGGGCAGAAAGATTGTAAGAGGCAGAAGTGCTAGATGACCAGAGGAAAATACTTTTTCAGACAGCTGGTAAATTACTCATATGAACTCACAGCAATGGTGACAGCAAGTATCAGTTCCATGTAAACTCTAGCCAGACAAAATCTCAGTATAGACATGGAAAAGTGGGTAAGAAACTCAAACTCTACCTGAGGAAGCATTGGCAACTGATGGTTGCTGGGAGGGGGAAAGTCTCTCTGTTTAAGGGTGTGACTCTTGGTAGGTTGAGCCGGCTCCAGTGAATGAACCCACACCACAGTGCATTTGGGGACACAAAATTGATTCTATAGGCCTCTGTCTTTCTGTCTGTCTCTCTGTTTCTGTCTGTCTGTCTGTCTGTCTCTCTCTCTCTCTCTCTCTCTA